TTTACTGCAGTATGGATTTCTGGAGAAATTTTAAGATGTCAACGAATTAGATTCGCTCGCAAAGAGCGAATTTCGTTTAAATCGAATAAATTCACTTTTTCTCATATTATATTTCAATAAAAGATAAAAATAAAAAAAGCATTTTGTGCAAATCGTTTATTATTTTGCTATTTTTACACGACACCCACGAATTTATTTAGCTGCGAATAAAAACCTCGAAAAAAAAATTTCGGTGAACCAAAAACCAAAGTGCGAGTATAATAAATTGCTATTCTTAGCGTTGCTACTGAGAATTTGTAGTGAATTGCATCAACGACTCCAAAGAATTTCAATTTTTTGAGATTTTGAACAATTTAAGATAATTTTGAAAATTTTATCAGCAATAGGGAAGCAATTCAGGAATAATATAAGTGCCAGTAGATTTCACAGCAAATTGTTAGTTAGTTGGGTAAAAGTCATCATTTCCATTATGGTCCACTTTACGGCAATTAGCATAGATAGGGCTTTTTCGCTAAAGAACCATTTAGAGAAGAAAGCATAAGCGAGCCTTGAGCATCATTCAGATTTATAATGACAGATAACTTTATTCCCTTTCCAGAATTAAAGTTCGAGTTGCTGAAGTGATAGTCCGATTATTGTGCCCTTTGGCCAACCGCCCTTACTGCAAAATACAAAATATAATATAATAATTATTTCGTGTTTTTATTTTCAGACCACAATAATTTTAAATGAAAACTCGCTAATACTATTTATTATTCGGAAAATATTAGTTACTAATTATTGGTATGCCATGTTTTCACAAGAATTCATGCAAAAAAAAATTCAGCAAAAAAATTTTTTAAAGTACTTCGGCTGTTTGCTGATTAAACAATGACTCTAAAAAAATATGCCCGATTTAGCGTTTTTTGTTGCAGCAAGTCGAAGTAAAAAAAACTTAAACTTATCCACGAATATGATTCTACAGAAAGCTATTACTATTTTTGTTAGCGACTGGTTTACTCAGATGAAGCAAATTTTCACAGAAAATGCAAAGAAAAAAAGAATACCATGAAAAATCCAAATCCAAAATGCAACAAAACTAATAACATCGTTCCAGGTTGCCGCATTTATCGGGGAAGTAAGGATCTTGAAGAGAATAATGAATTTACTTAATTTACTAGTTTTTATTTTGCTATTTTCCGAATGCCTCTTTAAAAATCCGTTACATTGCGTTACTGGCCTACTAATCGAGGAGTTATCCGAAATTCTACAACGAATACGATTCCGCATTTATCGAACGATATAAGCGAAAAAAACGGTGGTAATGTTTGAAATTTTTCTTTAATACAACTCTTGGAACAAAGATTGGGTCAGTCGCCTTGAGCTAATGCTCGTTTCGATCTTGCCATTAGTCTATGTTGCAAGGCAGCGGCAAAACCTTCGCAGAGATGTTAGCATCTTTGTTTTATGATTTTTGCAATTGTTCAGCCATCTTTCTTGAGAATTACCCTGGTAAACTGCATCTGCAAAAAAAGTAGTCTGAAAATAACGAAGCATTACTTGAAGAGATCATCCCGGAAATAAAAACACGATCGTTTCCTTAAATTTTAGAAATAGAGATTGTGCAATTCTTTAGGAAATTCATATTTAAAAAATTTCTAGCGAAAACATTATTGGAAGCAAAATTTATAAAATTAACTTCTATAAAATTTCACAGCTCCATTTTCAAAAATATTTTTTAAAAAATCCACCGGTTTTAAAGCTAAACGAAACAAACATTGGCACATCGTTAATTTATAAATAATAAAATATAAATAGAATCCAGTAAAGATTATTTACTGTAAAATAAAATATAGCGATTCATAATCGACAGGTGAAACCACTTTAAATCCTTTTTCGGATGGCGCATAAAAACGGTGAACTGTGGACAGTCATATCATTCGGTGATGTTAGTTCTATTAATTGCTTTTATATTTGTGCGCAGAGGCGAATCGGGGGATGGAGTCCAGCTAAATAAATGCCTTGATCCTAATATTGCCGGCGTAGCTCGTCCATTGCCACTTCCATCAGCTTGCAAGGACAAAGATCCAACTATTTGCAGTGCCATTTTTGCCGTTCGATCGGGCGCTTTAGCAGATAATGCAGTTGCGTACGTTTCTTCTTTCCAGCTTTGTGGTTCTTTATTCGATTTGCTTTTTTGTTAATAAAAAATCTATTGCAGAACAAATAATTTTTTGGTGAATCCCAACTGCCAAAACGCGACTGTTCTTACAGCTGCTGAAGCTTTGTGTCCCTCTTCATGCGCAGTTTGTTGTTTAACACCTGAATTTAGTTGCCAAAATTGTACGTTTCTTTTCGCTACGAGCTTACTCATATCATATATACTTTGTAATTTTGAAAATTCATGCACAATATGCATTTGAAAACATGAAAACTTCCTCCGTCTGCATATATGACTCGTATTTCAGCCGCTGCTAATTGCAATGCATTTATGTTGTCACCAGATTTATGTACAAATCCAAACACTGCAGCAGCAGCATTAGCAGGATGTCCTCGAGCCTGTGGTCTGTGCAATAGGCCTGGCGCCAATGGCCAATGCCCAGATACTGGTGTCGTGAATTGTGGACAGCTGTTGGCCACTGGCTTAAATTGTAGTAATGCATTCATGACGCAGAATTGCATGGGAACTTGCAGAATAACAACTTGTTTATGTATGCATTTATTATATCTATGTGGAAATAGTTTTTTCGACTCTTATCATTTTTTTGGATAAGCCAGTTGATTACACAAAGAAGGTTGCATATAGTAAATTTAACACGAAAAGAGTAAATAATTTCGTGCGCTTATAATAAAATTTAAAAAAGCCTCGGGGAGCAACAATATTTCTGCTTTGATTATACCTCATAATTTTTCATTTTTCTTTTTATTTATTTTTTAGAATAAATTTTATTATTATTCAATTTTCAAATTTTCTTTCTTGCATAGCAATTTCTATCAGTTTTATAAAATTAAAATATTTAGCGACGACAGCGGCTGCATCTGCTTGTTCGGACAGCCGAGCCGACTGTGCAAGACTGGCATCGTATTGCAATATTCCACCGTATTCAACAGTAATGGTTGACCAGTGCAAAAGAACGTGCAACTTATGTAGATAAATTGAGCAAAACTGCTTTCTTTGGATGGGAAATTTTTGGGTTTTTGTAAAATTTATTTCTAAGTTTCGTATTTCTTTGGGTTTTTCATCGCTTCATCGCTTTGTTATAGTCAAAATAATGTTTTTTCTCTAATTCTTTATTGTCATTATTTTCCTTATAAAATGTGATAAAGTCATAAATAACCTTTTTTTTTCATTTTGATGAGGTCTTTTCCTTGTTTAAATTTTTTTTAAAACAAGGAACCCATTTGAAATTTGGATATAATTTGAAAATTTTTACATATGTTATATAAATAAGAATAGTGAATAGCTTTCGGTTTAACTACTACCTTCGTGGATTTTGCAGCATAAATTTCAATTGGTTTTAGCTAATTTTTTATCCCTCTCATACAATACTTCCTTCAAATGGCTCATAGCATAGATTTTCATTTCAAGCACAATGGCTTGGTTTTTATCGCTGTAATTTTATTAACAAAAAGTGAGAGCTATGGTACTAAAGATATTAATTTTTCGTTTAACCACAAGTCTCTGGCGAAAAAGCGTGGATCAAAAAAGGTGCAGCGATTGTACCTTTCCCGTTAGTGACGGTTGGTGACGGATTCCAATGCTCTATTTGTTAAACGAATAGCATATTGTAGAGAATAAATTGATGGAGGCACGCATTATATTTTGCCTAGGTTATAACAACGCCAGGAGAACATTCGAAGCTCTTCACCGAAGTTCGATCTTTGAGATGGTTATTTAAGCATATATTGCAGAATTTTCTTTGAATTGGTCCAAGGCAGCAGTTCTAACGTATTGAACGTATCGTGACAAAGCTCAGGAAAGGCCCAAGGTGCTTAATGGCTCAGATTGCCTTGTTGAAAGAATTCGATATATTAGAAAGTTTAAGTGCTGCGATTCATCATCTTTGCTTGATTCTCCAACTTCTGAAAAAAAAAGCATTCAAACCATGCAAACAGCCAGCGAAGCCCATATTCAAATGTGCACTAATCGCTTTTCACTTAGAACCCAAAGATGTGCACCTATATTTCTCGCCATAATTTACTGCAGTATGGATTTCTGGAGAAATTTTAAGATGTCAACGAATTAGATTCGCTCGCAAAGAGCGAATTTCGTTTAAATCGAATAAATTCACTTTTTCTCATATTATATTTCAATAAAAGATAAAAATAAAAAAAGCATTTTGTGCAAATCGTTTATTATTTTGCTATTTTTACACGACACCCACGAATTTATTTAGCTGCGAATAAAAACCTCGAAAAAAAAATTTCGGTGAACCAAAAACCAAAGTGCGAGTATAATAAATTGCTATTCTTAGCGTTGCTACTGAGAATTTGTAGTGAATTGCATCAACGACTCCAAAGAATTTCAATTTTTTGAGATTTTGAACAATTTAAGATAATTTTGAAAATTTTATCAGCAATAGGGAAGCAATTCAGGAATAATATAAGTGCCAGTAGATTTCACAGCAAATTGTTAGTTAGTTGGGTAAAAGTCATCATTTCCATTATGGTCCACTTTACGGCAATTAGCATAGATAGGGCTTTTTCGCTAAAGAACCATTTAGAGAAGAAAGCATAAGCGAGCCTTGAGCATCATTCAGATTTATAATGACAGATAACTTTATTCCCTTTCCAGAATTA